CTTAAGCTTTAAAGATATCAGGGGAAAACTCCCATGTTTTGCATTATTGCAGACAGATGTCGATGGACATGAGCGCGTCATTGCGTAGGAATCTCGTCAGCTCAAAGCTGCAGCTACAAACTACCCAGTTTGCGGCCAAGTGTTACTTGTAACGAAGTATGATCTTGTTCAGTTCAGAGTCCATCTACTTGGCTCAAAACTTTTTGTGATCTTTACAGGACAGTCTTCATTATGCACTGCGACACAGTTGCCCCACCTCTCACATCGTATGGCCCGTTGGCTTTCATTATTCGCTGAATACAACTTCGATGTGAAGTAAAAGACGGTCAATTAAAACGATTTGGCTGATGCGTTGTCACACCGACCTGATTATAAGCTTGCTCATGTTACGACTCTATCGTCATCTATAGTATAATTTTTGATTCGTGCGGCATATGCACTTGATGAGCAATGTGTGGCATTTCTAATCTGATCTTGTAAGCGAGGAGTTTAAAGATATAGACATCAAGTTGTCGGCACGATTACGTGCGAGCCTACATCGGTATGTCATCGATCGTGGGTTGTTGTGCTGTTGCACGGGTGTTGAGGATGTGCCTCGCATCGTTGTTCATCATTATGAGGACTTGAAGCTTCTTTTCCTCTTGAGGCACATGAAATTGCTTTAAGCGTTCATCTTAGTCGTGAGAAGACCGGACTTATTGGTGGACTAAGTTGAACGAATGGGTAAGCATATATGTGCGTACGTGTAAAACGTTTTGACAGGTCGAACCTAGCACATGCGTTTGCACTGCTTGCTAGTTTGCCTGTACCCACAGTGTGTTAGAAGTCCACCAGTAAGGACTTTGTGTTTGGCCTACCGATGGATTCGGAAGGCCTCACTGGTATTCTGGTCTTAGTCGACCGTTTGATCAAGCCGGCTCATTTAGCGGCTGTGCCTGATTCCATCGATGGTCACGGTATAGCAAAGCTGTTTATCGACCGTGTGTGTTTTTCAACACGGTTTGCCTGTGGCAATTGTCTTGGATCGTAATTCACGTTTCATTGGCAAGTTTTGGACTTTCATTTTTAAGAACCAGGTTAAACATATCCACAGCGGATCATGCGCAGACCGATGGTCAAACTGAGCATGTCAACCGTTTTATTGGTGACATTTTGCGCAGTGTCTGTGCTGTTAGGCCTAGGCGATGGAGCTCTATGCTCCCGGTGGATGAGTTTTTGCGTTAAACAACGCTGTTCATGTATCTACTAGCTTTGCTACATTCTACGTGAATAGTTTCACTTACCCCCGCGTTCCGTTGGAGCTATCACTGCGTGGTTCTGGGCTTGGTGGGGGAGGAAAAGCCGATCGGCATGATGATATCAGCCCAACTTCTGTTCAGAAACAGATGAGAGAGATCCTTGCTACGCGATTGAATGTATTACGAAATGCACGTGACGCAATGGCTGCTATCCAGGACAAACAAAAGGAACAAGCTTATGCCAAAGACAGAACGTGTATTGAGAGTCATGAGGTTGAAGACCTAGTCTTAAATGATGCTAAGAATTTACCTTCCAAGGTTGTGTCAGAGATCTGCGGGCTGTGTCCTCGCTGTACTGGGCCGTTTTCGGTTGTACCCAAGAAAGGCCTAGCATACACGCTTAACCACCTACGCATGATTCGAACACACCCAGTGTTTTACGTCGGCTTGCTTAAGCGTTTTTTTATTCGTCACTGTTGGATCACGAGGCGCTTGCACCGAAGGATTTAAGGATGCCACAAGTCGAGGGACCCTTAAGAGAGGATCCAGCTTTCCTTCAAGACGCGCCACGTGGTCACGCAGACCGTGCACCTCGTGCGCAAACTCGTCGACGTGCGTCGCGATTCTCCGACCACCGCCTTCTCTTGTTGACGAGTAGGGGGATCAACAGCTCCATGTTAAACAAATCGTGCTGCAACGTTTTCGTGAAGGTCAGTACCAGTACTTGGTACAGTGGTGAGGGTATCCGGAGTCGGAGAACTTATTGGAGTACGAAGTGTCACTGCGGCAGGATTGTCCGTATGCCGTAGACATTTTCGAACGTCGTCTTCAGGGTCAGTCGACCCATACCGCTTTGCACTAGTCGGTGTGGAGGTGGAGGGGGCTGCAGTTGCAGCAGGTGCACTGATGCGCGGTTCCGTAACTGCCGCAGCATAGCGGGTGCGATAAAACGATCGCAGTTGGCCTTTGGCCTTTTGTTTTGCGAAATCTAAGCTCATCTTTGTTCGAGCCGAACTTCAGCAAGTGAAGCGCTCTTGGAGAATCGACAAGCTTGGCAGAAGGCGATCTCGGTAAGCCCAACGCGTGAAGACGACATCAATTTCCGCCTTTGTCTCACCAGAGAATAGAACGACAGGTACTGTCCGCATGGTGGACACTGACGCACCTCGTTCTTAAACACATGTGGGTTGTAAAGCTTGAGCCCTAAGGCCCAAGTCTATGATTCTCCTGTCAAATTTGATAGGGAGAAGGTGACTTGCATCTCGTCGCCCTCGATGTGACAAGCCTTTATGGCATGGTCCAACTCGACGAACCATATCAAAAGAGAATCTTTACCGGTTTACCTTGTACCTTGAGATATCAATCTTCAAGGTTTCGGGTCGACGCATGTGCGTCAGTCCGCCCATCGGTTGATGAGAGCCTTGCTGTTGTAGCAAGGCTATCTTCAGTCTTTTGACGGCAAGTTCCCCTTGTAGGAACTTGTTGATAGCAGCATGTTGCTGGTCTTTGCTTCGAGACTGCAATACACCACTGATGGCGGGTACGCCCATGAGCACACTCATGCGGCCGACTACCTCCCATTCTAAGTCGCTTAGATGGAAGTAGCCTTTACGTTTGACGTGAAAGCTGTCGTCTTCTACGTCCAACATGTTCTAGTTGGACGGACACTAAGTAGTCGTTGGACGGACTACAAAATGCTACCATGTGTGACGGGGCACCCTCTGTGTGAGATGCCACAAAACTTCACGTACACTAGTAGTGCAGAGGAAGATAATCTACTTGAACGACTCGGTCAAGTAAAGGTAAAAAAGGAACTGTAATTAAATTAGGTAAGCTACCAATATAACTTCGGTCTTTATCTAACTATATCAAACTATGTCGTCGTATGAAGACAACCTGCTCACCACTCATTACGTGCGTCTAGCAGCGATTGGTTATAACATTGGTTGATATGTCTTTTATCAACCAATTTTCGAGCTGCACATGACTTATATCCGAATGGGGTTTATTCCTTCAATACACCCAATCTCGGGCTACATTGGTAGAATATTGTCACGCTAGACAATATTCCTATTGACTCCGTTTGGTGTCAACATTATAAATCGGGATACCCCGTTGAACCTTTACTGCTGTCAGTGTCGGTGCACGAGCACTGCAGCAGTACTAATGACCAGTGCCCCATTTTAGCGGGTGCCGTCACTGAGAAAGCTCCCCACAAAGACTAAACAGTGCGAGAATGAAAAAAATAAGTCACGCAAATAGTTTATGTGAGACGTGTGCGGTCGTTAATGACGTGGTAATCCGGCTTTGACTCGTATCACTCGCATCTCTAGCAAATGCGTCAACTCACAACGGCGCTTAAATATATGCAAGTGATACGTCGCGCATTATAGCTATGGAATGGATGCAAAATCTACCGACCTGAAGATGCCTGGGATTTCAGTAAAACGGAGACAGCGTCACGAATGCTAGTAACGACATTAGACAGGGGAGTGCTCTGGAGCTCGCCCTTTGATATAAGTAATCCAGTTCGGGGAACTGTATTAATTTACAAACACTATACAGCAGGAATGACTGAAGAAGGCGAATGGTGACGTTACTGTCTGTACAAAACACTTGATGTAAGATAGGGCAACTCGGTTGGCCTTTGCTTATAGGCGTCCAGCATTTGCTTATGTGATCACATTTGCCTTTAATCGATTTTAAGCCAATCACAAGTATCCGATATCACTCTTTGGCTAGGTCACTATTGAACCACAATAGTGGCCTAGTTAAAAAGTGACTTAGGCCAAACCTGTAACTACGGGGGGGACAGGCTAGATGCATCAGTACGGGCAGGATACACCTGATTACGTTATTTACAAACAGACACACTCACAGACAGACAGACAGACAAACGAACACAGATAGGTACGATGTAAAAGCTTGGCATAAGTCCTTGCGCACACACAAATAGCTTCACCCCTCGGACTCACAAAAAAAATCAGACATTTCGGTCAATTGCCGCCTGACGATTGTTGTGTGTTTACTGAGAGAGTCTGACGACACTCAGGGTTAAAGTCGAGAGATTTGTCACACGCCCCCCCCCCACACACACCCTGAGCTTCCAAACAGCAAGTATTGTACACGTGAAAGTCATCTGAATTTTATCGCTATGTTGCACACGAAAGCATTTGATCATCGTATCGCCAGATAGACAAGCTCTCCATTAAAATGAAGGCTCACATTTTACTGTAAACGCCAGGCTCTTACAAAATAATAAAGGCGCTAGAGTGGCTAAAGCTACGTCAAAGCTTCGCGTAGCTCCTTCTGTTTGGCAATATGGGCGGTACTAGCCTGAGATTCGACTCAAAGTTCGCCTGTGGATTTTTCCAGCAGCTGAAACGACTTACATAAACTGTGAGTCAACACAATCGCCGTGGAATGAGCCGGAGCTTTAAAAGAATCTACCCCATCCTTGAAATTCACCATGCCCTCGGCAGCTGTTCCTCGCTATACTCACTATAGTCGGCCGCAAAGTGATCTCTTCTTGCACTTGATCCCTCTACACACATGAAGTCTTGGGCCGCCAGCTGTGCTGAGCTGATCCCGATCGCGAGAAATAATGGGTAACGCCATAAGTGCCCTGTCGCCATATTCAAAGACCAGCCTTGCATCTCTTGTTTCTATGTGTCACAAAGCGTGCAAATGCACGCGGCCTGGGTTGCGAACATGGTTGCGTAGCTTGTCCTAGTCTATGTCTGCATTGTCCTTCCTTCTACGCTACCAGCAGATGGTCTTGCGTCGTCTCTGGCCGTTTGACACTCTCTTTTCGCAGGCTGCGGTCCAATGGTTCAGACCCAGCGGACGCATTTGACGCCAACCGCTGCCATCTGTCCGTGCAGCCTGCAAATCCGAGCATGTACCTTGTGGAGGGACTGACACGAGAGAAAAGCGATTTGTTACATTCCGAATCAAGCATTGGCGGTGTTGGACACTGGCTGCAGCAGTCGAAATCCCTGGATTTCCTAGCTCGTCACCGTTGTTCACCATCCGAGATGCCGTAGACCCGCTTGGACAAAAGTGCTGATTGTTTTGCCAAAAAAACGAGGAGGTCACTGGCAACTGCATACTTGTCACGACAGTGACCGTGATCATACACTTGAGCACTGAATTTCATTCTTGAAAACGCCTTCGACCGCGCACTTCATTTCATTCCATCTGACCAGCGCCTGTTATGCCTTGTACGACCCTATCTTTCGTTCTTGCTGCGGCAGCAGCCACCGTTCTCGTTGATGCCAAGCCAGAATACGTCGCACGCGTTCCAAATGGTGCGAACGTGAACGGCGTGGCGGCTTTGGGTCATGTGAACCCCAGCGGTGGCGGAGCTAACAACGAGTTCGGTCTCAAATTCCGTAGCGTTGGTGAAACGTGGACCCAGGATTTGTGCATGGATGACTCGGACGGCGACGGCCAGACGAATGGCCAAGAGCTTGGCGATCCGTGCTGTGAATGGGTTCAAGACACGAACGCAGTTCTCCGCCGGACAACGGGACTGTCCCACCCTGGTGACGCACTTTCCATGTCCGACGCATCACTGTGGGAAGGTCTGGACTGTAGCATGACTGGCATGCCCAACGTGACCGACTCCAACGGGACAACCGACGACGTGGGGGCCATATCTCCAGACGAGACGGGCAGTATTCCGTTAGGACCTGACCAGACAGACGACCCGTTTGCCCCAACATCGCGTGCGACGTCCCTTGCGGTTCCTGCCATCTTCTCGACTATTGCCTTCGGCGCTGGTGTCGCTGCTTTCTTCATGTAGATGTAATGTGGAATAAACTCATCCCTATCGATCGATGTCATCGTTCCTTTTGCTTCAATACGGTTTCCCGCAGTTGACCCTTAGCTCGCCTTTATCCTGATCAAGGCAGGAAGCCGACGGTAAGCTCTCATCACGATTTGACATGATGATGCAAGGGCAGGTCGTGGAGTTAGTAGCGAAAACAAGCTGAGCTCTGTAGCATAAGGCTATAAGAACCCGCAGCAGGAGCAACACGAACTAACGAGTTAGCGCGTTCCTCGACGCAACTTTGAACGCATCAGTAGCATACTTTTTTTTGTGATTTCCATGTACATGTTGGGTCCTAAGGCAAGAACACAATGACAAATGCACAGAACGCACAAGACGACATTGTTATTAGCCCAAAAGTGAATCAGGAAGCTGTTGCATATGGTTGTGACGTGCTTTTTTTCACGAGTGTTTTGTGCGTGCATCTTGCACATTTGCCAGGAGCGGTCAGTACTACGCTGGAAATGTGGCAGACGGGTCGTCGTCGACGGGTGCCTGAGCTAACAAGGCAGCCAGACGAGTTTGTGAATAGGGACAAAGCAAATGGATTGACATAATCCAGACTCATACTTCTGAGAGATGGGCATTAGACGAAGCGAAGGGCCTGATCCGATGAGTTTGGTGGGCAAGGGTAGCCACTTGCCCGTTGGAAACTAAATATCTGCTCGCAATGGAAGACAAAATCGAAGCACGAGTGGAGGCGTCTGCCGACATGTGGTTGCGACCCCAAAGGGTGAAGCTCTTAGCGTCTGTACGCAAGGTAAAAAACGAGCTTTCAAAACCTTCTTTCTGTCTGAGTGTCCGTGTGTTTATCGCTGTCCGTCCGTAACTAATGCTGGGTGTACCTCACTCGTCGTACGAGGTGCGATGTTACCTGACGTCTCCTCACCAGGTAATATGCACTAATGCAAGCCCGAAGTATAGGCTACTAGTGACTATGCGCAAGCAAGTTACGTGAATGCACAAAACCTGACTCCTATCTATAGACTGAATTGCTTGTATCAAAGGGCGAGCTCCAGAGCTTGCTCCCTACCTTAAATCGTTTGACGAACTAGGCTTCTCTTTTCGGACAAGCACAAGGTGATAAGATGATCTCGTAAGAAAAGAATCGATATGTACAGCGCCAGCGCATCCTGCACAAAGTAGACGCGTACCCATAGCCGTCAGCTGCGGATCTCGTTTGACTACACTTTTTGAACGAGGTGGGCTCGACAGGACCAAAACAAATTCACTGAGCTTTGTCGTGGGCCCAATAAAACGGACGAGCTTTTCAGGTGCATGTGTGTCGAGAACATACGTGATCTAATGAGGCTGTACGGTTCCGATCATTCCAGCGACGATGAAACCCGATCAATCAGCACAACGTAGCATGACCGTCTTGTACACTTGCTATTGCAAGACAGGCTCAAGAGCATTTTCGCTCTTTATAATGAAGCAGTGAAAAATCACAGTTGCCTTGCTGCCTTCGTGTAGGGTAGGTTTGCGATAGCTTAGTCAACTTGTATTTCGATCATCGGTTCTAGTGACACCACCTCCTCATAGCCACATGTCCTTTTGTACGGCCAGCAAGACTTTATTACTGAATGAGAACATGACGCACTTCCAGTTGTGCTGGTGCGTAGTCATTCGGATCTCTGGTTGGATGCCAGGAAGAAGTAAATTATTTGGCGATCATGTATTACTTCAATTCGTGCTTCGTCCTACTCCTGACGTAGTAACGAGATGTATGCTCTGCAGTCATCGTACTCCCGATCGCTACTAGTCTTTCGGTCTTTGACAATCCGTCGCGTAACTGGTCGAGAAAGCCAATCGTGTATTGTACCGAAGCTATATCTCAAAGTAACCCCATTTAAGAGCTTGATACCAACCGAGGGCACAACAACTCGTATTCATGTTCTCTTGTCGGATTCTGACAATTCCTTGAGCCACACGCACAGCAGAATACACGATTAAATTCGTGACCCGTCGTTAATTAAGTTGGTACGAATGTCTCGCTTTATCCAGAAGCATTGTCCGAAAACGAAATGCGATCCCAAAGACTCGTTTCCATACTTGTAGCAAAGTACACCAATACATGTGTTTTTCATTCGCAAAGAACCACTGACATTTTTGAGTTTCCCACGACCACCGACAATTTAAAATTTCCACGACCACTAGGCAGCCCGTCCAGGTAGCGTTTTACACGGATGCCGTTTCGACAAAACCAAGTCAACTCTATTCGGAGCATGCATCACCAGCCTCATCGACACTCCGGTTGAGGTGTTCACACAACATCACACACGTCTTTGCGCGCCAGACAATTTGCTATGAAGGCACAACGCTGGTCACATGTGCACTCTATGTTGACCTGTTATCCAGAGATTAAGTAGCTTTAGAAATCGAAGCAGTGCACGCCATGTTTACAACGTGTGCAGAAAACATTTTGCGAGAACTAGCTTCGTCTTCCCACATGATTGTTTTGTAGCAACAATCAGCCAAGACAAAGATGTAAAAACATAGTAAGCCAAGACGTTACCCGCCATACTGCGCGCTTTTCATATAGTTTACGTTGACGCCTGAGGATTGACAATCAGTCGCATCGAATTGAAGCGACCGTGTCGATAGTTAAAATAGCACCGTCTGTGTCGTAGTCCATTTTGGTTGCTTGACATCAATTTCCTTCTACTTGCGTATATCGAGCTTGGCTCGTCATTCATAACAACAAGCAAAGCTCAGCGGTCAGCCACATCGTTTTCTTTCCTGGAAACGACATCATACTTAGCTCGGCGCATCTCCGTAGATCCTTTCTATATTATACACCACATCGGATGTAAAGTTTCTAAACCAAAGTTTCCAGCAAAGAAAAGAAAGTGTCTTGCAAAGGTAACCTCTTCTGTGGAGTGATCGAAGAGCTTTGGACTCTGGGTGACATAAGGTAAATTGTTGTGGAGTTCACGCCGCATGAGAATATTCTTGTGAAGCCAAACTCCTTCGATGGACCTACAACGTTGCAGCATCTTTGCAACAGTAATGGTGACATGAAGAGAGTCATTGATCCACCACCCATGCAGACCCTTCAGTCGTAGCGATCGTACGGCGCAGCTTTTTTTCAATTTTTTCCTTAGGTAAAATATGCGTAGTATTAGTTCGAAAGCCCTGGACTTACACGCTCTTCCTCCTCGTTACATGGGTGGTTCAAACGCGTAAAGACGCGTCTTTGGGTTTCTCCCAAGCCACATTCACGCAAGCGATAGACTGATGTTCACTGCTGCTCAAATGACGTGGCTTCCTTTTCATGGTCTGCTACAAGTGCTGGCTTACCTACAGACGTGCTCTTTCACCGGCAAAGTCTCCTTTTAATCACTGCGTGTGCGAACAAGGAAGTGTAATTTCTCTTCGTGTCGTTCACCAAAAAGCCAACCAATGTCGTAGTGATCGCACGTTGCCGATGGGGCACGAATCTAAGCACAGTTCTTCTAGGTCAGTGTCATGAAGCAACTTGTTGTCAAGGACAATAATCGTCTGCGTTCGCTGTGTCAGCGTAAAGTCAAAGGGCCTGGTGTCTGTTAGCCAAGTAATTGAGTAGCAATAGTAAACGCAGCAGGTTTAATCAACAAGCTGGTCCTGCTAAAACAGAAAGGAAAGTTCGACAGGGATCAAACATGGTAAACACGATACAGCGGCAGGCTACTACTAGGTAGTTATCGTAGCATTATAATGGTATACGCCTTCGATCGCATAACCAGTAAAGCTTATAACTCTAGCGACCCATGACAACGTAGGGGCGTGTCGACGGGCATTCAAGTCGCGACCGATTGCACCAACAAACTCAAAGGCACAATCTACCACTTGTCGATCAGAGTCCAAGTCATCCACATCAATTCCGACACCGCGACGGCAGTTTCTCGATCTGAACGTGGATCCACGGCACGCTATTGACGTTCGACGTCTATCATGATACCCTTGTATTGTGCCGTCGTGGCAAAGTGTCATCAAGGTGCAGTCCAGCTCCGCACTGATCAAGGCAGGAGATGGGTAACCAAACGGCTGCATCTATTTGGACCGACTGTGGCCGCCGCCTTTGTGGTCGGATTGTGTTAGATACCAGCCCAAGAATGGATTACACAGGCACGAATGCGCGCCTACATCCACGTTTACTACCTTTTCATCAGCATCAACGGAGACGCTTCCAATCTTTAGACGAACGTGCGAGCAAGACGCAAATAATGCCCGCGCCGGTGCTCGAGCTGACATGCCAAACTCGATGTCTTTTAAATAGGACGATCAGTGCGAAACCGCTGCAGATCACTGTGATGGCATTTGTTGCACGTTAACTGCCCATCGTCGTGATACAGACTTTTGGTCAATCGATACTCACCCTTAAGAGAATAGGGCCCGTTCAAAACATGCACGTCGCCTATAGCGTCATCTCGAAGTTGATCCAAGTGTTCTAGGTTTACAAGTCAATTGCTGCTTGTTTAATCATCTAGTTCTCTACATCTCACCGATACCGACGCTATCAATCCTTGCAAAACGCGTGTTCGGGGTGTTCTGCAAACAAGTATTTTCTGTATCGGCGGATTCAAGCGCGTTGTCGAACATCTCCATTAAAGTCCTGACAAAGTGAAGAAAGCGAGCCGTGCAGTCTTTTACTATAAACTGTAAACAATTGTAAGCATGTGTTTGACGAGCCGTCAGCTCATCAAGAAACAGGGTGCTTAAGTTTAGTGCCACTTAGTTCCGACCGACGCGCTTCTTCAACTCCTCATACTGGCTGGCCGTTTACCATAGCGATGGAGTGGCTATAGCTTGTAACGATCAGCGTCTGGTCCATCAAATTTATGCGCTTGTCAACGATGACATCAGCGGCAATTTCATGTTAGCTGAGGACGCCAGCGTCTCGTCAATGGAAGCAGCCTCCAAGTGGACGATCTCTCTTTGCGTGATAATGTCATACGGCTGATGAAGCGATGGCCATCAGCTCCGCAGCTCAC